GGGAACAAACCTCTCCTCTGCCTCCTTGCATTTTGTTGCCACATAGTCCATCATTTCTTGTACTGGTTTTCCTGTCAGTTCCCTCTCACAATGAATGTCTTGCAGGAAGTTCCTCATGCCTGAGTAGTTCCCCCTTTTGTAGTTTGGTTTTTCCCATCCTATTCCTGCTACTCTCTCCACTTGAAGCTCAACTATATAGTCAAAGCACAGAACCACATGATCACTAGCTCCTAGGGGCCTTTCATACATGATATCCTTGATGTCCGAACTACTTAAGGTGAATACAAGGTCCAGTCTTGCTGGATCATCTTCACCTCTCTCTCTTGTAGTGTCTCTAACATGTTGGTGCATGAGGTTTTCCAGCACTACATCCATCAACTTCGCTCTCCATGTTTCGAGACCCCCATGGGGCTCCAGGTTTTCCCAGTCAATCTCCTTGTGATTGAAATCACCCATAACTAGCAACTTTGCTCCCCCCATGTGTGCTCTTCTGGCCACCTCGGCTAGTGTGTCGACCATTGCTCTGTTGCTCTCATCGTATTCTTCTCTTGGCCTCCTGCAGTTCTGTGGTGGGTTGTACATTACTGCAATTATCACCTTATGTCCCTCAGACTGGATTGTTCCTACTAAGTAGTCCCTTTCACCCATGCCATCCATTCCTTCCATTTTCTCAAAACCCCACTGGTTTTTAATGAGCAGTGCAACTCCTCCTCCCCCTCTCCTCCTTCTGTCTTTCCTGAGGATTTGAAATCCGGGTGGAAAGACTGCATATGTATGTATGTATGTATGTATGTATGTATGTATGTATGTATGTATGTGTGTGTGTGTGTGTGTGTGTGTGTGTGTGTGTGTGTGTGTGTGTGTGTGTGTGTGTGTGTGCGTGTGTGTGTGTGTGTACACTCACCTAATTGTACTCACCTAATTGTGGTTGCAGGGGTCGAGACTCAGCTCCTGGCCTCGCCTCTTCACTGATCGCTACTAGGTCCTCTCCCTCTGCTTCCTGAGCTTTGTCATACCTCTTCTTAAAACTATGTATGGTTCTGCCTCCACTACTTCACTTGCTAAGCTATTCCACTTCCTGACGACTCTATGACTGAAGAAATACTTCCTAACGTCCCTGTGACTCGTCTGAGTCTTCAGCTTCCAGTTGTGACCCCTTGTTTCTGTGTCCCCTCTCTGGAACATCCTATCTCTGTCCACCTTGTCTATTCCCCACAGTATCTTGTATGTCGTTATCATGTCTCCCCTGACCCTTCTGTCCTCCAGTGTCGTCAGTCCTTTTTCCCTCAACCTTTCCTCGTACGACACTTCCCTGAGCTCTGGGACTAGCCTTGTTGCAAACCTTTGTACTTTCTCTAACTTCTTGACGTGCTTGACCAGGTGTGGGTTCCAGAATGGTGCTGCATACTCCAGTATGGGCCTAACATACACAGTGTACAGTGTCTTGAACGATTCCTTATTAAGGTATCGGAATGCTATTCTCAGGTTTGCCAGGCGCCCGTATGCTGCAGCAGTTATTTGGTTGATGTGTGCCTCCGGTGACGTGCTCGGTGTTATGGTCATCCCAAGGTCTTTCTCCCTGAGTGAGGTCTGTAGTCTTTGTCCACCTAGCCTATACTCTGTCTGCAGTCTTCTTTGCCCCTCCCCAATCTTCATGACTTTGCATTTGGCAGGGTTGAATTCAAGAAGCCAGTTTCTGGACCACATGTCCAGCCTGTCCAGGTCTCTTTGCAGTCCTGCCTCATGCTCATCCGATTTAATTCTTCTCATCAGCTTCACATCATCTGTGAATAGGGACACTTCAGAGTCTATTCCTTCCATCATGTCGTTCGCATATATCAAAAATAGCACTGGTCCTAGAACTGACCCCTGTGGGACCCCGCTCATCACAGGCGCCCACTGTGATATCTCTTCATGTACCATGACTCGTTGTTGCCTCCCTGTCAGGTATTCCCTGATCCATTGCAGTGCCCTCCCTGTTATATGCGCCTGATCCTCCAGCTTCTGCACTAATCTCTTGTGGGGAACTGTGTCAAAGGCCTTCCTGCAGTCTAGGAAAATGCAATCAACCCACCCCTCTCTCTCGTGTCTTACTTCTGTTACCTTGTCATAAAACTTCAGAAGGTTTGTGACACAGGATTTGCCTTCCATGAACCCATGCTGGTTTTCATTTATAATCTTGTTCCGTTCCAGGTGTTCCACCACTCTTCTCCTGATAATCTTTTCCACACAATGCCTGTCAGAGACACAGGTCTGTAGTTTAGTGCCTCATTTCTGTTTCTTTTCTTAAATATGGGGACTACATTTGCTGACTTCCATTTCTCAGGTAGTTGCCCAGTTTCAAGGGATGTGTTGAAGATTGTGGTTAGGGGCACATACAGCATCTCTGCTCCTTCTCTAAGGACCCACGGGGAGATGTTGTCCGGTCCCATCGCCTTTGAGGTATCAAGGTCACTTAGCAGCTTCTGCACCTCCTCCTCGGTTGTTCGTATGTCATCCAACACTTGTTGGTATATTCCCTCTTGATGTTCCCTTCTGTGCTGTCTTCCCACAGCCCTTCCTGTCTCTACTGTAAAAACTTCCTTAAATCTCCTGTTTAGCTCCTCACATACCTCCTGATCATTTCTTGTGAGTTCTCCACCTTCTGTCCTCAGTCTGATCACCTGGTCTTTGACTGTTGTCTTCCTCCTGATGTGGCTATACAACAGTTTCGGGTCAGTCTTGATTTTCGATGCTATGTTATTTTCATACTGTCGCAGGGCCTCCCTCCTTACCTGTGCATACTCGTTCCTGGCTCTGCGACTAATCTCCCTATTTCCATGTGTTCTCTGCCTTCTGTACTTTTTCCATTCTCTATTGCACTTTGTTTTTGCCTCCTTACACCGTTGGGTAAACCAGGGGCTCGTTCTGGTCTTCCCATTGTTTCTGTTGCCCTTGGGAATAAACCTTTCCACTGCCTCCTTGCATTTTGTTGTTACATATTCTATCATTTCATTTACTGGCTTTCCTGCCAGTTCTCTGTCCCACGGAACCTCCTGCAGGAAGTTCCTCAACCTTATGTAGTCTCCTCTTTTATAGTCTGGCTTTTCCCAATCAACTCCTGTTACTCTCTCCACTTGCAACTCTACTATGTATTCAAAGCACAGAACCACGTGGTCACTAGCTCCTAGGGGACTCTCATATGTGATGTCCTCAATGTCTGAACTGCCCAGGGTGAACACAAGGTCCAATCTTGCTGGTTTATCCTCCCCTCTCACTCTGGTAATGTCCTTAACATGTCGGCACATGAGGTTTTCCAGCACCACATCCAACATCTTGGCTCTCCATGTTTCGGGACCCCCATGTCGCTCCAGGTTTTCCCAGTCAATCTCCCTGTGGTTGAAATCCCCCATAACCAGCAGCTTTGCTCTGCTGGAGTGAGCTCTTCTTGCCACCTCAGCAAGTGTGTCCACCATTGCTCTGTTGCTCTCTTCATATTCCTCTCTTGGCCTCCTGCAGTTCTGTGGTGGATTATACATCATTGCAATGACCACCTTGTGCTCCCCAGACTGAAGTAAGTAAGGGTGAGAGAGAGTGAGTGTGAGTGTGTGTGTGTGTGTGAGAGAGAGAGAGAGAGAGAGAGAGAGAGAGAGAGAGAGAGAGAGAGAGAGAGAGAGAGAGAGAGAGAGAGAGAGAGAGAGAGAGAGAGAGAGGGGAGAGAGTGAGAGTGAGAGTGAGTGTGTGAGTGTGTGAGTGTGTGAGTGTGTGGTGTGTGTGTGTGTGTGTGTGTGTGTGTGTGTGTGTGTGTGTGTGTGTGTGTGTGTGTGTGTGTGTGTGTGTGTGTGTGTGTGTGTGTGTGTGTGTGTGTGTGTGTGTGTGTGTGTCCCCCCCCAGTGTCCAGGAAAGTATATTGAATAAAAGGAGAGAGAAAATGAACCCAGGGTATCCACAAAGTTCTTTTCTGATTTAAATGTTTTTTTATGACAAAATAGTGACGTGACAAAAGGGAGTTTTCTGCACATACAGCAAAACTTACAGGGATTTTAGATGGGTTAACATTCTTTAATCCATGCAATTTCAGCATGTGCACCTCTAGTGGTCTAATACACCTAATCAATACCCTAGTTCATTCCATGTATTGGCTAACATATCTGATGTAATTTTTCCAATGCCATACAATTCTCAAGCATGGAGTATTTTAATATAAGCTACTGATATCCAGAAAACATAATTCTTCACAGAAAGAAGTCTAAATGTCTTATATCTGAGGATCATGGGGACCATTTGATGGAACCATTTGATGGGACCATCAATCTGCCAGGAAACTTTATGTTATGGTATTATGCTATTGTATGCAGAGTACTTCATTTTTGTATGATACATAGGTACATGAAGACCAACAGGAAATAATTGTTAAAAGCTGAACAAGATTCTTTCCCATTATAATTAAGCTGCCCAGTTATAAGTGGACCCCAAAAGAAATTAAGAACCTCAGTGTCTGACTTTATCAGGTTATCCTGGGTTAAGTCACACAAAATTCACTATATGGTATTTGTATAAATTTAAACCTGTGTAATGAACCAGAATATAAAACTTAATCATTTCCTCATCTTTGTCCTATACACTTGCTTGAAAGAAGACTTTTAATTTTTCATGAAGCCCCTTGGAATTTTAATTTCAATCTCATTAAGCTATTCTTTTTTTCTTTTTTGCCCTCAGTGTACAATGTTAGGTAAATATAGTTTAACTTTTAGAAACCCAATTTTGCAGCATGACAATTTCTTAACAAGACATAATTAAGTCCAGGTGAAAATATATACTTCTGATGAGTGTGCAACAGTGAATATCTTTACTGATGTCAATAAAGATATCTAGTGTTGCATGTGTCTTACTCCTTAATTATATGCATTTTGTTAAATTTCATTTTATTCTTAACAAAGGCTATTAATATGGACAGGTATCGCTGATTTCATTGTATTATCTTGAAACATAATTACAGTGTACAGTATTAATTAGCTTACCTTACTACCCAGCCAAGAACCTAACTCAGAAGGCAAAGGCCAATGGTTCACTCTCGCTCGCCCTCGCAGAACTGTCCACAAGACCTGAGCATCAGTGAAGCTGTGGGCTTTTCTTAGTGCCAGTGGACTACCAACATGTGACTCTGAAGCAACCCAATGATACATGCAGCAGTAGAAGAGAGTAGTTAGAAGAGACTTGTCTATAATGTTAGCAGCACGTGGGTACTTGATGAGCATGGGGTTTGTTTGGTCATTACAGTCTGCCTCATCTATGGCCATCTGTCTTTCTAATGAAGAAAGAAAAATTACAAATATTGGTCAGCTTAGTTAGTGCAATAAAATATTAAGTTATAAAAAGAAGAGCATACAAAAGATATTTTTTATTTTTTATTATTAACACATCGCCCATCTCCCACCAAGGCAGGGTGGCCCCCCCAAAAAAAATTTCATCATTCACTCCATCACTTTCTTGCCAGAGGTGTACTTACATTACAGTTATAAAGCTCCAACATTAACACCCCTCCTTCAGAGTGCAGACACTGTACTTCCCATCTCCAGGACTCTAAGTCTGTCCTGCCGGTTTCCCTGAATCTCTTCATAAATGTTACCCTGCTCACAGTCCAACAGCACGTCAAATCCTAAAACCCATTTGTCTCCATTCACTCCTATCAAACACACTCATGCATGCTTACTGAAAGTCCAAACCCCTCGCACACAAAACTTCCATTACCCCCTCCCTCCAACCTTTCCTTGGCCAATCCCTACCCCTCCTTCCCTCCACTACAGATTTCCACACTCTCAAAGTCATTCTATTTTGTTTCATCCTCTCTACATGTCCAAACCACCTCAACAACCCTTCCTCAGCCCTCTCACCCACACCTCCTTCTAATTTCCAAACTACAAATTACTTATTATTTTTATTACCACACTGGCCGATTCCCTCAGACCAAGGCCAGGGTGCCCGAAAATAAAACTTTCACACATTCACATCCATCCTACTCCTAAAGAGGGTGCTATAACTATACAGTTTTTAAACTGCAACATTAAACCCCTCAAAGTTTGTCGCCAAGACTCTATCCCACCCTCAGCCTCAAGTCCGGCCGCCGGTTTCCCTGAATCCCTTCATAAATGTTACTTTGCTCACACTCCAACAGCACGTCAAGTATTAAAAACCATTTGTCTCCATTCACTCCTATCAAACACGCTCCGCATGCCTGCTGGAAGTCCAAGCCCTCGCACAAAAAACCCTCCTTTACCCCCCCCCTCAACCCTTCCTAGGCCGCCCCCTACCCCGCCTTCCTTCCACTACAGACTGATACACTCTTGAAGTCATTCTGTTTCGCTCCATTCTCTCTACATGTCCGAACACCTCAACAAACCCTTCCTCAGCCCTCTGGACAACAGTTTTGGTAATCCCGCACCTCCTCCTAACTTCCAAACTACGAATTCTCTGCATTATATTCACCCACACATTGCCCTCAGACAGGGACATCTCCACTGCCTCCAGCCTTTTTCCTCGCTGCAACATTCATCACCCACGCTTCACCCCATAAAAAGGGCGTTGGTAAAACTATACTCTCATACATTCCCCTCTTTGCCTCCAAGGACAAAGTTCTTTGTCTCCACAGACTCCTAGTGCACCACTCACTCTTTTTCCCTCATCAATTCTATGATTCACTCATCTTTCATAGACCCATCCGCTGACACGTCCACTCCCAAATATCTGAATACGTTCACCTCCTCCATACTCTCTCCCTCCAATCTGATATTCAATCTTTCATCACTAATCTTTTTGTTATCCTCATAACCTTACTCTTTCCTGTATTCACCTTTAATTTTCTTCTTTTGCACACCCTACAAATTCATCCACCAATCTCTGCAGCTTCTCTTCAGAATCTCCCAAGAGCACAGTGTCATCAGCAAAGAGCAGCTGTGACAACTCCCACTTTGTGTGTGATTCTTTATCTTTTAACTCCACGCCTCTTGCCAAGACCCTCGCATTTACTTCTCTTACAACCCCATCTATAAATATATTAAACAACCATGGTGACATCACACATCCTTGTCTAAGGCCTACTTTTACTGGGAAAAAATTTCCCTCTTCCTACATTACTCTAACTTGAGCCTCACTATCCTGTAAAAACTCTTCACTGCTTTCAGTAAACCTACCTCCTACACTCATACACCTGCAACATCTGCCACATTGCCCCCCTATCCACCCTGTCATACGCCTTTTCCAAATCCATAAATGCCAAAAAGACCTCTTTAGCCTTATCTAATATGTTCGTTATTGTTTCACTGTAAACACCTGGCCCACACACCCCTCCCCTTTATCCTAAAGCTCCTTGTTCATATTGCTACCTTATTCTCGTCTTACTCTTAATTCTTTCAATTAATAATCTACCATACACTTTACCAGTTACACTCAAAGACTTATCCCCCTATAATTTTTGCACTCTCTTTTACCCCCCTTTGCCTTTATACAAAGGAACTATCCCATGCCTTTCTTCCAATCCCTAGGTACCTTACCCTCTTCCTACATTTATTAAATAATTCACCAACCACTCCAAACATATCCCACCTGCTTTTAACATTTCTATCTTTATCCCATCAATCCGGCTGCCTTACCCCCTTTCATTTTACCTACTCCCTCACGAAACTTCCCCAAACACTCACAACTGGCTCTTCCTCACTCCTACAAGATGTTATTCTCCTTGCCCTATACACGAAATCAAAAGCTTCCCTACTTCATCACCCATTAACAATTCCCTTCAAATATTCCCTCCATTTCCCAATACCTCTATCTCTCCATTTAATAACTCTCCTCTCCTATTTTTAACTGACAAATCCATTTGTTCTCTAGGCTTTATAGCATATATAGGCATATATAGGCATATAGGCTTATATAGGCATTATATTCACGCCACACATTGCCCTCAGACATGACATCTCCACTGCCTCCAGCCTTCTCCTTGTTGCAACATTCACCACCCATGCCTCACATCCATATAAGAGAGTTGGTATAACTATACTCTCATTCATTTCCCTCTCTGCTTCCACAGACAAAGTTCTTTGTCTCCACAGACTCCTCAGTGCACCACTCACCTTTTTCCCCCTCATCAATTCTATGATTCACCTCATCCTTCATAGACCCATCTGCTGACACGTCCACTCCTAAATATCTATATACATTCACCTCCTCCATAATCTCTCCCTCCAATCTGATATCCATTCTTTCGTCATCTAATTTTCTTTGTTATCCTCATCACCTTACTCTTTCCTATATTCACTTTTAATTTTCCTCTTTTACATACCCTACCAAACTCATCCACCAATCTCTGCAACTTCTCTTCAGAATCTCCCAAAAGCACAGTGCCATCAGCAAAGAGCAACTGTGACCAACTCCCACTTTGTGTTAGAATCTTTATCTTTTTACCCCAAGCTCTTGCCAACACCCGAGCATTCACTCTCTACAACCCCATCTATAAATATATTGAACAACCATGGTGACATCACGCATCCTTGTCTAAGGCCTACTTTTACTGGGACATAATCTCTCTGTCTCCTACATACTCTAACAGAAGATAATGTCTGTTAATTTTTATGGAGTAGAGAGAAGCTTCCAATAAACTACCAACAGAATTATAAATTAGAATTCACCCTTTTTTAAATTAAACTTTAACTATGAAAAAATTGCAAATTAAAGTAATAAAGGTACATAAGGAGGAAAACTAGTAAACAATTACGTACTTGAGAAAATATTAACAAAGTAAAACAACAGCACAACAGATTTACATTGTGGTGGACCAGTGACTGTGGGCACTGTACTACACAGTTTAAGGAACATGACATTAATGGGAGAAAGTGTATCCTTTTTACTTCCCCAATCACAGTAATCTATGGAAAATTGAGGCCTGTCTAGTTTACTACTTTAAAACAGATTAATTAATTACCCTTATAAGACACAGGAGTAACCTCAGCCATTTTACCTTGGCATGTCACAAAAAAAGTGGGAAAGCTCAGAATCACAAGCAGCGCTGTATAGCCCTTGTGGCTTAGCGCTTCTTTTTGATTATAATAATAATAATCAGAATCACAAGGTTTATAATAATTTTCAATTTAAATCATAGTTATGTCTCATGATGCAATATTTAATTTATAATAGAATGAACCGGGAAACTAGCAAAGATCTCAATCAAATGGTAAAAATAACTAGGATATAAGGATAACTAGGATAAAACCCATATTAGGAGTACTTTGTCCTCCCTTTCTCCTGGCAATACCTCCTGTTCTTCAGTTATCTATCATAAGGTATTGTTTACTGCATGCCACTGATAATAAGCATGGATTATTATATTCATGGGGAAGTGATGAACTCATAAAGATCATACAGCACCTAGGAAATAAAAGGCAAACAAGTATTACTGAAAGAAGGGAAGGGTACCTGGAGTTACCTGGAGAGAGTTCCAGGGGTCAACGCCCCTGCAGCCTGGTCTGTGACCAGGCCTCATGGTGGATCAGGGCCTGATCAACCAAGCTGTTACTGCTGGCTGCACGCAATCCAACGTATGAACCAAAGCCCGGCTGGTCAGGTACTGACTTCATATGCTTGTCCAGTGCCTGCTTGAAGACAGCCAGGGGTCTATTGGTAATCCCCCTTATGCATGCTGGGAGGCAGTTGAATAGTCTTGGGCCCCTGACACTTATTGTGTTGTCTCTTAATGTGCTAGTGGCACCCCTGCTTTTCATTGGGGGGATGTTGCATCGTCTGCCGAGTCTTTTGCTTTTGTAAGGAGTGATTTTCGTGTGCAAGTTTGGGTAGCTCTAATTCTTTCCCTCAAGAGACCTTTGCCAGTATTAATGCACCCTCCTTAACCCTTGAACTGTTCAAACCTAGACCTACTTCACTCCACTCACGTAGCACTCACTCTAATATTGCATTTAAAAAAAAAAAAAAAAATTAAATGAAGAGTGCATTTTTCTACATGTTATAGGATAAAAAAAATTTATGGTCAGTACTTACCATGATATAAGCCTGTGAAGTTAGCACTGGATGCTCACCTGATAGCAACACTAACTCCTGCTGCTTGCAGAAATGTTGCCGATATACCTTTTTTCCTCGTTTTTATTTTAATTTATATATTTTTTATGTTCTGATAATTACAATTTATAATAGTTCTTGTGATTTCATAGCCAATCTTTGTTCTGACACTAATATTAGGTACTGAAATAGTACTCAAATAGTCACAATCACATTGACAAGTGAACATTTACTATTGTCTAGAAATATACACAAAGTATTTATAGGTCCCAGCAATGTTTTAGACACACTGGAGTATACCTTGAAGCATGGTATTATGACAAGTGTCACTATACTGTTAACAGCCCACTAACACTTGATAAATGGGTACTCAGGGAACCCTCCCTTTATTTGTTTTCACTGTTACACATAAACATGTCTGTTTATCTGTCTGTCTGTCTCTGCTCATCTATTGAGCTCTGCTTATCTGTCTTTCTGTCTGCCTGGAGTATATATAAGAACATAAGAATGTAGGAACACTGCAGAAGGCCTACTGGCCCATACGAGGCAGGTCCTTATCAAAACGACATCTACCTAAAGCTACTCAAGAAATAACTCCCGTACCCCTTGACACCAATCAAACCCAGCCCCTCCCACTCATATATTTGTCCAGTCTCTTCTTAAAGCTACCCAAGGTCCTAACCTCTATCACCCCACTGGGAAGACTGTTCCACGCATCTACAACTCTGTTAGAAAACCAGTACTTACCTATGTCCTTTCTAAATCTAAATTTATCCAACTTAAATCCATTATTCCTGGTTCTTACCTGGTTCGACACCCTCAGTACTTTATTAATGTCTCCCTTGTTTATGCCCGTCATCCACTTATACACTTCAATGATATCTCCCCTCATTCTACGCCTCTCCAGAGAGTGGAGATTTAAGGCTTTAAGTCTATCTTCATACGGGAGGTTCCTTACACAGTAAATCATTTTAGTCATTCTTCTCTGTATGTTCTCTAATGAGTCTATGTCCATCCTGTAGTAAGGGGACCAAAACTGAGCAGCATAATCTAAATGAGGCCTCACTAGTGATGTATAGAGCTGTAAAATAACTTTTGGACTTCTGTTACTTATACTTCTTGAGATAAATCCAAGTAATCTGTTGGCCTTGTTGCGCACACTGAGGCACTGCTGTCTTGGCTTTAGATTTCTGCTTACCATGACTCCCAAGTCTTTTTCACATTCTGTATGACCAAGCTCTACTTCACCTAGATTATAGCTTCGAGGGTTATTTTCATTACCAAGGGCAAGTACCTTACACTTATCCACATTAAATTTCATCTGCCATTTCTCAGACCAAGACATTAATTTGTTCAAATCGTCCTGGAGTTCATTGATATCCTCCTCAGAGTGAATTATACGGCCTATCTTTGTATCATCAGCAAACTTACTCATGTCACTAGTAATCCCTTCATCAAGGTCATTAATGTAAATTATGAACAAGAGAGGGCCTAAAACTGATCCTTGTGGAACGCCACTAGTGACTAATCCCCATTCAGATTTCACTCCATTAATGGTAACTCTCTGCTTTCTATTGGTAAGCCATGCCTCAATCCATGCTAGAACTTTACCTCCTATACCATGAGCTGCCACTTTTCTTAAGAGTCTCTTGTGAGGTACTCTGTTGAAGGCTTTACTAAAATCCAAAAATCGAAGGCTTTACTAAAATCCAAAAAAATCGAAGGCTTTACTAAAATCCAAAAAAATCGAAGAATGGTGTTATGGCAAGTGTTGACAGCCCAGAGACATTTGATAAATGCACTGCTCCAGCTAACCCTCATCTGTCTGTCTGTCTGTCTTTCTATCTTTGCCTGGAATTTTTATGTTATCCTAGGTAATTAACACTACATGTATGTATAATAACTGTACCCAGCCAGCCGGCCAGCCAGCCGGCCAGCCAGCCAGCCAGCCAGCCAAATACACAAGAACATAAGAAAGAAGGAACACTGCAGCAGGCCTACTGGCCCATGCAAGGCACGTCCATGTCACTCCCCAGGTTAGACCAATGACCCATCTAGTCAGGTCACATCCACTGAAGGAAGGAGCATGGCATCAGACCTAGTAGAACAAGCTAGTCAGATCCAACGCACATCTACTCATGTATTTATCTAACCTATTTTTACTTTCCTCTTAAAAGGGGAGTGTTAATGCTACATGGCATCAGTGAATCCCTGGCATTTGCCACCTATTTGCTCTAGCTGCCACTCAACTGAACTGGTGCTCCCACAAGGTACTAAGTGGTCCCAGATTTTTTTAATACTGCGCACACTAAGTGTTAAGACCCATTCTCTCGTGTCTAGGCGACTCAGACCTATTGCCCAAATTTTGAAGGAATGAAAAATAAAATGTTGATCTACGTTCGGAGAGCTATGCGAGCAAACGTATATCTATGTTTGGACAGTTTAAGGGTTAAAGTGAACATGTGTAAAAAGTTTGTCTGTAACACAAAGAATGACTAAAGAACTTTTTCCTAGGAAACACCATCAGAAACATCATTGTTTTAATAAGAAAGTCATAACAAACCTAGAAGTTTGATATGGTCCATCACAATTTTGGCCTCATGAGAGAGACTAGGATCAGTGAAGCTGTTGTCAAGAGCCTTTTTCATGTTTTTCACTTTGTGTTCTGGTGTTCTGCTTGAGAGAGCCAGCTCATAAGCCAAGATCTGTAATATTCAAAATAAATGTTATCATATAACATCAGACATGCACATCTACTGATACATTTGTAAGCCAATGAATGGTTAAAGGTCTATGCTATAATTTAACAGCTGAAAATTAACAACAGAAAAGTATTAGGTGGCTGCATATTTAGAATATATCAATGCTTTGTATAAAACACACACTGTAATTATAATGAGTTGGAGTTTTTATTAGCATTAATAATTTCATTTGAACAAGAGATGACCAAGACAAAAATCAGTAATTGCCTATCTAATTTTACTGTAATATCAATAAGAAATTTAAGGCCTATGTACTGATGAAGGAAATTATTAATCTAAAAATCTTGCTTTTCCCACCCAGGTAGAACAGTTGAGTTAAGCATCACAAACTATCACCACATATCTGGCTATCATCCATTCACAAAGAGAATCTAAGCTACAATATTGCAAAAGTTGGAAAGTCACATAACTTGCATGCTTCTTGACTCCTCTACATTCAAGAAAAATTAGCTTCCAATGTGCATTGTCTGTTGCCAGTCCTGTGGATTTTAAAAAGAAGCAAAATATTCTAAAATTTTCAAGTGTTCAACAACTGCATTTTACTAGCATTCAACTATTATATATTAATGTAAACTACCTAGTATGCACTTCTTTTTTAGTATATTTTGTCACCTACTACAATTTGGTGACCCCCTAGAAGGGAAATACATTTATTATTGTTTAATATCATAGCTGTTTTTTTTAGGACATGAATGTCAGGGTATGTGGGTAGTAGGTTGGTAGACAGCAACCGCCCAGGGAGGTACTACCGTCCTGCCAAGTGAGTGTAAAACGAAAGCCTGTAATTGTTTTACATGATGGTAGGATTGCTGGTGTCTTTTGTCTGTCTCATAAATATGCAAGATTACAGGTAAGTCTTGCTACTTCTACTTACACTTAGGTCACACTACACATACATGTACAAGCATATATATACACACCCTTCTGGGTTTTCTTCTATTTTCTTTCTAATTCTTGTTCTTGTTTATTTCCTCTTATCTCCATGGGGAAGTGGAACAGAATTCTTCCTCTGTAAGCCATGCGTGTCGTAAGAGGCGACTAAAATGCCGGGAGCAAGGGGCTAGTAACCCCTTCTCCTGTATATATTACTAAATTTAAAAGGAGAAACTTCAGTTTTTTCTTTTGGGCCACCCCACCTCAGTGGGATATGGCTGGTACGTTGAAAGAAGAAGAAGAATGTCAGAGTTCAAATAGCTCTCTGTATCACATACCCACTCATCCTTCAGAGTGCAGGCACTCTATTTCCCTCAAGAATTTAACAAGTTTCCTGAATCTATTCATAGACTTTACCTTGCTTGTTCACCAACAGGATGTCAAATCATATAAAGTACCTGTTTCCCCCTCACTGAGATCTAACTTGCTCCCACATGGCTGCAGATGCTCAAGCCTCTGCCATATAATGTCTCATTCACATTCCCCTTCCAACTACTATTGCATGCAAATACTGGAAGAAATGCAAACTGAAATGCAAATGTGCTGAAATAGCATATGAACTTTTGCATATTTTTATACTCACAGCAGCATCCTCAGATCTGCCAAGTAATCTGAAATATTAAAAATTGACATCAATTACTAATGCATTACAGTACCAAGCAATTAGGAATATTCAAAACTGACATAAATTACTGAACTAAATACTGAACTGAGAAGAGCATAAAACAACTATGATTTTCAAATCAGATTTAACCCTGAGAACACGTTAAGAAACAATACTGGGCCCCATATTGACCCAAGGAGCTAAAAATGGTTTTGTGTACAAGGGGCTTGGACATACAGCAGGCTTGTGTGAGCATGTTAGATAGGAGTGAGTAGAGACAAATGGTTTTCAGGATTTGACAAGCTGTTGGAGTGTGAGCAGGGTAATATTTTGTGAAGGGACTCATGGAAACAGGATAGCCGGACTTGAGTCCTGGACGTGGAAAGTACAGTGCCTGAACTCTAAAGGAAGGGTTTGGGATATTTGCTGTTTAGCGTGATATCTAAACCGTCATACCTGCAAGCCTCTGGCAAGACAGTGATAGTGTGAATGATGGTGAAAGTGTTTCTTTTTTGGGTCACCCTACCTTGGTGGGAGCACATATATATATATACATGTTTTTTTTTTGTTTTTGTTTTTTTTCAACAAGTCGGCCGTCTCCCACCGAGGCAGGGTGACCCAAAAAAAACAAAGAAAATCCCCAAAAAGAAAATACTTTCATCATCATTCAACACTTTCACCACACTCGCACATTATCACTGTTTTTGCAGAGGTGCTCAGAATACAACAGTTTAGAAGCATACACATATAAAGATACACAACATATCCCTCCAAACTGCCAATATCCCAAACCCCTCCTTTAAAGTGCAGGCATTGTACTTCCCATTTCCAGGACTCAAGTCCGACTATATGAAAATAACCGGTTTCCCTGAATCCCTTCACTAAATATTACCCTGCTCACACTCCAACAGATCGTCAGGTCCCAAGTACTATTCGTCTCCATTCACTCCTATCTAACACGCTGACGCACGCTTGCTGGAAGTCCAAGCCCCTTGCCCACAAAACCTCCTTTACCCCCTCTCTCCAACCCTTTCGAGGACGACCCCTACCCCGCCTTCCTTCCCCTATAGATTTATATGCTTTTCATGTCATTCTACTTTGATCCATTCTCTCTAAATGACCAAACCACCTCAACAACCCTCTTCTGCCCTCTGACTAATACTTTTATTAACTCCACACCTTTTCCTAATTTCCACACTCCGAATTTTCTACATAATATTTACATCACACATTGCCCTTAAACAGGACATCTCCACTGCCTCCAACCATCTCCTCGCTGCTGCATTTACCACCCAAGCTTCACACCCATACTATACTTTCATACATTCCCTTCTTTGCCTCCATAATTAACATTTTTTGACTCCACATATACCTCAATGCACCACTCACCTTTTTTCCCTCATCAATTCTATGATTAACCTCATCCTTCATAAATCTATCCGCCGACATGTCAACTCCCAAGTAGTATCTGAAAACATTCACTTCTTCCATACTCCTCCTCCCCAATTTGATATCCAATTTTTCTTTATCTAAATCATTTGACACCCTCATCACCTTACTCTTTTCTATGTTCACTTTCAACTTTCTACCTTTACACACATTCCCAAACTCATCCACTAACCTTTGCAATTTTTCTTTAGAATCTCCCATAAGCACAGTATCATCAGCAAAAAGTAACTGTGTCAATTCCCATTTTGAATTTGATTCCCCCAAATTTAATCCCAGCCCTCTCCCGAACACCTTAGCATTTACTTCCTTTACAACCCCATCTATAAATATATTAAACAACCATGGTGACATTACACATCCCTGTCTAAGACCTACTTTTACCGGGAAGTAGTCTCCCTCTCTTCTACACACCCTAACCTGAGCCTCACTATCCTCATAAAAACTCTTTACAGCATTTAATAACTTACCACCTATTCCATATACTTGCAACATCTGCCACATTGCTCCTCTATCCACTCTATCATATGCCTTTTCTAAATCCATAAATGCAATAAAAACTTTCCTACCTTTACTGACTCAAGAAATCGTAATGACATGATTGCAAACAAACCATACCCCCGGCCGGGATTGAACCCGCGGTCATAGAGTCTCAAAACTCCAGCCCGTCGCGTTAGCCACTAGACCAGCTAGCCACAATAAGATTCATCCAACTAGGTATATTTCTACACCATAGGAAGGTTAGCACAGGCACCACTATGACCACAAATGCAAGTTTTTACAGACAAATCTCCAGCTAGCGTGGCCGTGACGAACTCTAGCTCAAGTCCCTTCACTGCCGTCAACATGACTCAAGAAATCGTAATGACACGATTGCAAACAAACCATACCCCCGGCCGGGATTGAACCCGCGGTCATAGAGTCTCAAAACTCCAGCCCGTCGCGTTAGCCACTAGACCAGCTAGCCACAATAAGATTCATCCAACTAGGTATATTTCTACACCATAGGAAGGTTAGCACAGGCACCACTGTGACCACAAATGCAAGTTTTTACAGACAAATCTCCAGCTAGCGTGGCCATGACGAACTCTAGCTCAAGTCCCTTCACTGCCGTCAACATGACTCAAGAAATCGTAATGACAAGGAAGTTACTTCCTTGTTTACGAAAGTTCCTGTTGATGATTTATTAAGTTTCTTATCTGAAGAACTCGTTAACTATGATTTACCATTGCCAGTTCCTACTATCATTAAACTTATTAAACTTTGCATTGTTGATGCAAAATTTGTATTTAATGATAAGTTTTACACTCAGAAGTTTGGTATGGCAATGGGAAATCCTCTTTCACCTGTTCTTAGTAACCTATACATGGAATTTTTTGAAACAAGGTTGCTTAACACAATCCTCCCTAATAGAGCTAAATGGTTCAGATATGTTGATGATATTTTGTGTCTTATGCCCAAAAATGTAGATATACACCATTTTCTTGGAAAATTAAATAGCTTAGCTCATTCTATAAACTTTACTGTTGAGTTTGAAGAAAATAACTCATTGCCTTTTCTAGATGTTTTAATTATTAAGGGTAATAATGAATTCAAATTTAAAATTTACAGAAAACCTACAAATAACTGTTCCTATGTCCACTATTATTCCTCGCATCAAGATAGAGTCAAACTGTCTGTTTTCTCATCAATGTTTTTGAGAGCTTTACGAATTTGTAGTCCTGAGTTCATAGATGAGGAAATATCCAAAATTTATGAAATAGGTAATGATTTAAAATACCCAAGAAATGTAATTGATAAATCTTTTAAAGTTGCTAGAAACACTTTTATAATCCAAAAAGGGGGAACCAGCCTTATTCAACTAAAAATATGTTGGTTCTCCCTTACCATGAAAACTTGGTTGATATGCCTTCTCTTCTTAAGACTTTTAATATTAAAGTTGTATTCAAAAATCTTGATACAGTAAAAAAACTTTTGATAAAGAATTCCCCCCAAAATGCTGATGGATGTCTATAAGATTCCTTGTAAAATTTGCGATAAAGTTTATTACGGTCAAACTGGTAAAAATCTCGAACTAGATTAAAACAACATAAATATAGCATTAGAACTGGACAAGATTCCAATGCTCTATTTATTCATGTAAGAGATTTTAACCATCCAATTGATTTTCAAAAAGTTGAGAAAGTAGTATCAAGCAAGTCCATGGTCAACAGGAATATAATTGAATCTTGTTTCATAAAAAGCAGTTTTGACAATAATATGAATATTTCCTTTGGTTTATATATATGTCATGCCAAATATGCAGAACTATGCCATCATGGCTTAAATAGCAACGCTCATCTTGCCATATAGGACAAGTGAAAATTCTGTAGTAAGCCAATAATTTCGCACAAAATCTTCTGAACCTAAGCGAAAAAAAATACATTTGATTGTGTTTGTTTATGCTAAATTAATGTATAACAGTATTAAAATATAATTTAGTTGGGTTAGGCCAAAATAAATTTGCTCTTGTTATAATAAGGTTAGGTAAGTTTTTCTAAAATTTCTTTTATTCAAAAATAACAAATTTTACATTAACTTTAATGAAAAAATATATCTTTAAACATATAAGAGAAAATTCAGAAGTCTTAATTTTAAATGATGTTCTTGCTAATTGACCAGTTTTACCATATTCGGCACTACATATATATATATATATATTATATATATATCTGTAGTAGGTTGGAAGACTGCAACCGCCCAGGAGGTACTACGTCCTGCCAAGTAAGTGTAAAACGATGAACCTTAAATTGTTTATACATAGGTAAGGATTGCTGGAGTCTTTTGTCTGTCCATATACATGGCAAGATTTCAGGTATGTCTTGTTTCTTCTACTTGCACTTAGGTCACACTACACTTACATGTACAAGCCATATATATTACCCACCCGCCCTGGGTATTTCTTCTATTTTCTTTCTATTCATGTTCTTGTTTATTTTCTCTTCCTCCATGGAAAGTGGAACAGATTCTTCCTCCGTAAGCCATGCTGTTGTAAAGGCGACAAAAATGCCGGTAGCAAGGGCTAGTACCCTTTTCTCCTGTATAGGGTATTACTAAATGTAAATGGAGAAAACTTTCGTTTTCCTCTGGGGCCAACCCCCCTCGTGGGATACGGCCGGTGTGTTGAAAAAAAGAAAGACAGAATTATATATATATATATTTTTTTTTTTCAACAATTTGGTCTTCTCCCACTGAGGCAGGGTTACTCAAAATAGAAAGAAAATCCTAAAAAAGAAAATACTTTCATCATCATTCAACACTTTCACCACACACACACATTATCATCTGTCTTTTTTGGCAAGAGGTGGCTCAGGATACAACAGTTTAGACAGCATATACGTATAAAGATAACACAACATATCCTCCAAACCGCCAATATCCCAACCCCCTCCTTTAAAAAGTGCAGGCATTGTACTTCCGCATTTCCAGGACTCAAGTCCGACTATTAAGAATGATAAACGGTTTTTTTCCCAATCCCTTCAGGTGGCTAAATATTACCCTTGCTCATCTACTCCAACAGAT